GTACGATCCGCAAGGGGTGTTCCAGAAGCTGCTTGGTATCGGGCTTTAAGATCCCGTCGAAGTCGTAGCGACAGAGTTGTGTCGCGTCTTTGGAGAGGCAAGAGCGAAGACGCACGCAGGTAGCTGAAATGGCACTTGGCTTTGGTGGTTGGCCCAAATGGCAGGCGTGCACAGCATATCTCCCTAGGCAGGTAGGTAGGTAACCTGCAAAGGTACCTTGCCAAGCTTACGTAGGTAGGTACCTTAATGTACCTAGGCATGACCTAGACGTGGCCGCCGCTCCGGACTTGAGAGGGGAAACAAACAAACAAACACACTCCGCCGATTCACGTAGTTGCTGTCGTTTCCCGTGGTCTGCTGATCGGTGACGTGAATATGTCTAGTTCTCCACACCCTGACACTCGTCTGAAATTGCTTCCGAACCTGATGCGATTACTGGCGTCAATGTAAGCCACACAAGGCGCGCAACATCTACAAGAAGAAACAAAAATGCAGGTACGGATGCGGGGTAACAACTACATCCCGTCATGCCCAATGTGAGCTCCAAGACATGTATGTGTCTTGTCTCAGATCCTGTGTGTCCTCAGGTGTCCGCTGGGACGTCGAGAGGCCGCCGAGAATTGTTCGGCGGAAGAGCTTCTTCCATGTGAGAAGTTGACCTTGTCGTCACGCAAGCCTGGCCCTTGCCCTCCCTCCGGCTGGTCTCCAACCCAGTTTCCATGTCCGAGTTGGGCATGCAAGCATGTCAATCGAGCCGCCCAGCGGTGCAATTCTTCACCTATCTCCACATGCATATTAATTAACGGCGACGCTCCGAATCTTTGCTGCACTGCCGCGCCTAACGCCGAGCCACAGACTTCAACGAACCGCACTGGAAGCGAAGCTTGCGTTGCAACACGGATCAGATTCAAGCCCGATTCAGATGCCTCTCTGCAAGTGGCCCGGCTCGACGTGGGAACTCAAAGCCCGATCCTAGCAGGCCCCAGCAGTTCTTCAAACATTCAACATGTCGGTCGCCATGGCTTCTCCTCCCACGATAAACCCCATTGGTCCTCTGCGTCACGTCACCTACGCCTCCCACGACCAACAGTCTATGCGTTTCAGAGTCGTTCTCCCACACTACGACCCCCCCCCCCCTCCCTCGCGCGCCAGCGCGGATTGATGGTTGTCCCGCGCTCGGCATGCGGCCTACGAGTTGAGCCACTTGATCATTGCGGATCCTCTGGCCCTAATACCAGATCTCGACCGACCAGGGGCCAGCCCTTGCAACGCGATCTGCGTCCACGGCACCCTGAGATCCTAGACGGCCCTTCTTCGTCGTGCTAGACATGGATGGCGACATGGGCAGTCCTGTGTCATGAACCTGAGCAGTCAAACTGATGACCCTGGCCGGTTGTGAGTTGACCTTTTTTTTGTCTTCGTTTGGATTGCAACGCCAGTCGCTGCCATCCCTTCGTTGCCACTATCGCGGCTGCTTTGTGGGGAAGAGCCAAGGTTGAACCCGCATGGATGTTCGGTACTGCTTCCCCGGCTTTCCTGAACACGGCTGGCTATCTTTAATTTACCCATAGTATTCAGCAACCCCCGTCAGCGCACCCAACCAAGCAACCAGCCATCGGCCGCCGTGACGTGAACCGATCACGCTGCTTTGTCAAGCTGAGCAAGCAGAGACTCGGCCCGTTCGAGGAGTCGCATCGTATCTCCTTGCTCCGTACCCGTCACCACGCGGACACGCAACCCGACCTCAACATCGCTCTGCCGCTCCCGTCCTAGATTTTGACCCGTCACTGCGAGTCAGCGAGCCACAAACCCCAGGTTTGACCCGCGGCGGACCGCAAGCTTGATTGGACGCCGTGCGGTTACTGGCAGATGACGACGTGCCTTTCATATGCCCATCGGTAGCGCACAGCCTGCTCCTCGCCTTGGTGCAGTCATCCGTCGAGTTTCGACCATGCGAGATAGTGTTTCTTGGCATTTCGACAAGGTCGAGTCTCCTGTCAGCAAGAAAGCTTTTTCTTCCAGCGGAAACTGGCCTTCCTGGGTTCAGAACGGCAATTATTGAGGAAAAACATATGCCTTGCTGCATGTGTTACTGTGTGAAGAGCACTCATGACCACGTACATCGCGTCGGGAGACGAGGGCCGATATCGACATCCATGAGGCAGAGAGACGCCATGAGCATCAGCTGCGGCGCGATGGCAAGACAGCAACGAGGATTGCAAGAGATAACCCAACTCGATCACGTCGGCACATATCAAACATGCTGACTCGACCTGGTGTAAGTGGAATGACTTCGTGATACCCTGAATGAGCTGCAACTGGTGCGTTGCGCTGCACGGGATCTGCTCTCTGAATCGGCTTACACAAAAGAACAAGCCACAGGCACCCTGCCTGCTGGCCGTGAGAAATAAATGACCAAGGCCATGTCGCATCCTCTTGTCTGGGTCGGTCGGAATTCCGGGAAACATGAACCAACCTCACGTGTGGCTGGCCCCGTCGCGCGCAGCAGCCGAGGCCATTTTCGACAGACCGGATGGAACTTGCTGCTGCTGCTACTGCTGCTGCTGCTGGTCACTCTTCCCTGCCCAAAGATACCTTCCCAAGCCGGCAGCTGCCCTACCATTTCTCGCATGCTGTACAGCCCACCGAGTGTACCTACCTAGGTACCTAGGTGGACACGATGGCTTGCCGATGCTTGTCGAGACTTGCTTGTCGGCCATGCGAGGTCACAAAGACAAGTTTATAAACCTAGCCTCCCACCTTTGAGCCTTCAAAATACACTCTCGTTTCGGATACTGAGTGCTCCCTGCTTCTTTACTAAAGCCCCTGGCCCGTCCACGAGCTCATAGTCATCTACGCTTTCCAGGACAACGCTCTTCATCCCCTGCCTTCACCTTTCGCAGCCAAAGATCTATCTACAGCCCCCTGTCATCAACCATCTTAACCAGAAAGCTGAAATTTGCATACAGCTCCGCCATGGCAGGCCACGGAGCGGCCAGTGGCCCGTCTCAACTACCTGAACTGTTTGCGGCTCGCTTGGCTCTAAACAAAACTTGCTGTCACTTATTTTGCCGCCGCTTTGGTGTCCCTCATGGCTATATTCATCGGCTTTCACTTCACTCGCATATTGGCTTACAAGTCGGGTCTTGCGCCTCGGTTCTCTATTTTCGCCAGCCCCTTTCTTTTCGCCTCAAGGTACGCATCTCTCCTTTCCTGCTGAGCCGGAACGGGGGGCAACATGTTTGACGAATGCTTTTGTTCTAGAGTCCTCCGAAGAAGGCTCCTCGCCAAAGCTCCATTCTTACCTTCCGTCGGCCACGCTGGACTTGCCTTGATCTATGTGGGACTCAATATTGTTCTGACATTTAAGCCTCTGATGAACCACCCTGCCTTGGCACTCCTATCCAACATTGCCTCGCGGACAGGATGGTATGTGAAGCCTACCCCACCGCCCACCACGGCCCTACCTGACCTTACGTTTTAGGCTTGCACTCGCCAACATCTGCCTCGCCGTCTTTCTCGGTCTCAAGAACACGCCTCTAGGGTATCTGACAACCTGGTCCTACGAAAGACTGAACGTCATTCATCAGATTGTAGGTTATACCGGTGGATGGCTATGACAGCTGTGCATGGCTTTATCCAGCGAGGGAACATGGCGCGACTCCGGTCCAAGAGAGATTTTATGGCATAGTCGCGAGCTTCACCATGCTGACGCTTGTAATCGTTGGCTGCACTATTCGACGGTGGTACTACGAGCTGTTCTACCTCGTGCATGTCTCCTTCTTTGTCGTCACCATGGTTTTCATTGGTCTTCACCAGCCCGAGACGCACAAGCATATTCTCATCGCCACAGGCGTCGGCGCTGGCATGTGGGCGCTCGACCGTCTTCTCCGCATTCTCAGGGTCAGTCTTTACAGTTTCAACAACCAGGCCACCATACATCCGCTGCCGCACGGAGGTACTCGTATTGTGCTACGGAAGCCTCCTATTGGTGCGAGTTCTGGCGAGCACTGCTTCCTGTGGGTTCCCCGCATCAGGTCAGTCGAGATGCACCCATTCACAATTGCGGCGGCAGACCCTCTGGAGTTTGTCGTGGCTTCCTATGACGGCTTCACCCGCGACCTTCACAAGTACGCCATCCAAAACCCAGGTGCCAGTCTCAGGGCCTCTGTTGAAGGCTCTTATGGCACCTTCCCCGACCCTACTTCCTATGACAAGGTGGTATTGATAGCAGGTGGGAGCGGGGCAAGCTTCACCGTCGGCATGGCACTCAATATGATCAAGCACGCCAACGCTGGCTCTCAACAGAGCGTTGTGTTCATCTGGATGGTAAAAGACAATGGTGAGTCAAACTGGACAAACTTTTGTTGACACGGAAAGGACTGACACGCCATACAAGCGCATCTGGAATGGTTCTCTGACCACCTTGCCACGATACACCAGAGTCTCAACTCATCCATCTCATTGTACGTGACCAGATCATCAAGGCACGGGACAGGGACTGTCAGTGACAATGCCCTTGCACCCACCACAACCGTGTTCCGCAACCGCGCAGCGACATTTTCGTCCTCGGACAGCTCCCCTGACACCCCTGTCGATGACGAGAAAAAGGCTTGCCGAGGACAGGCCGGGCCGCGTCTTGACACGTCACATCTCCGACCCCGAAAAGTCGGAGCACGACTTGGAGCCGGAATCGCCCACGTCCCCTTGCGACACATCTGCTGCCGGCGCACCTCGACCACACCAGCAGTCTACCAGCGAGTTGCACATCCACGGAATTCCCATTACATACGCGCGGCCTGACATCTCGGCTTTGATCCACCATGCCATTGCGCAGACGCCCAGCAGCCAACGGGTGCTGGTTATGGGCTGCGGCCCGGAGGGGCTGATGACGGAGGTGCGCAATACAACAGCCAAGTCAGTCAGGAGAAAGGGTCCTGCGGTAGAGCTTCACTGCGAGCAATTTGGATGGTGACAGAGCCGTGTTCTTTGTGTGGCAGTTTGGCGCTTGGTTTATAGCATAGTCGATCTCAATGTTGGGCTTCCATCCTGGTAGTCCGTCAGTGTGGCTCCCTCAGTGCTTTTTCTGTGAAAACGCGGTGCCGTGTTTCATACGCGGGAAGTTAGGCAAAGAGGAACCTGTCGCGGCACGGCAAGTTATCGACCACAGCAAGCAGGTGGCAGATCCAGGGGAGACAATCTGTCCACGTGAACACCGTGTCCGCCACGCACTGGCAGAACATGGTTTCCTTCGCAATCTCTGGCTAGTTCCAATGCCGGTCGTCAGTCGCCTAGACTTCTCCTGAGAAAACCCCTTCTGGTCTATGACCGAGTGCTCTCCTTAGTGTACCTGCAATATATGGCGATCCCCCCCCCTCGCCCTTTGCCCAGATGCGATCGAGGCAAGCTCCAAGCAGACAAATGGAGCATCGGGCCGAGCAACATGCCGGCCGTGAATAGGCCGACATGTGGCCTCGAAGTTAGCCCTCCACCCCACCTCCATCCTCAACGGGCTGCCATGATCGGTTCGGCGGTCCAAGTGAACACGGGGGCCTCGCTTAACATTTGCAGTGCCCTGCCTGCCGCTGGAGTTGAGGCCCTCCGCACCCCTCCCCCGCATTCGTTCGGCTCGGTTCATTCCGAGAAACTCCTTCCATCACGGTTGGAACGGGACAAGCATGTCGGATGGATGTGACGACAAGCGTAGATGTAGACACGTCCAAATTTTGTCTCGGCCGACGAGTTGTGCTGGATGAGCCCATCAACGTGCCGCATTTGCTGTGGCTGCTGGGGACCGGCGTTTGCTCCGGACGACTTTGTCGATTGCGGCCATCGCCGGCCATGTAGGGCAACAGAACGTTCAGGCTGTGTGGCACCTGGCAGTGGCGCGGTCAAGTCGATCACGCGGCGTACCGCGCGCGCGACTATTAAGGCGCAGACTGGATCACGACGATTCTCTTTTCAATGCCACCATCATAAAGGAGTGTAGTGCCCAACAAAGTAAGTCAGTCAGTCATCTTGTCAGCGTTGCTGTTAATAGTTTCTCCATCTGCTCTACTCTTCCCGTGCTAAAAGGATGGAAGGTATCAATGTTGAACGGATAAGCCCCAGCGCCAATTTGTTGAAGAAATGCCACTCCTTCGCCATAATGCATTCGAAAGCCATCCCTTAGAACAAACCCTGGATCTCACCAGTCTCCACGTCAACGTCCACATTCAGGTAGCCTGGCGCGGTGGGCAGACCTGGAATGGTCTGGATGTCGGCAGCAAGCGCATACCTGTAGCGTCGTCAGTACAACAATCTGCGGGGCGCGTTGAAATTCGAGCATGACTTACAGGTAGCCGGCGCCGGCGGCCATTCGCACGTCGCGGATGGGCACTGTGAAGCCCGTCGGGGCACCCTTGAGCTCGGGATCGTGAGAAAGCGAATACTGGGTTTTGGCCACGCAAATGGGGAGGTTGCCGAAACCCTGCTTGGTGAACTGGTCGACCTTCTTCTGCGCCAGCTCGCTGAACTCGACCGCCGCAGCACCGTACATTTTTTTTCCGATGGCCTCGATGCGTTCCTGCACCGTGCCGTCAAGATCGTACAGCAGCTTGAAGTCTTTCGGCTTCTCACTCGCCGCGATAACACCCTTGCCCAGCTCGACGGCACCCTTGCCGCCCTCGGCCCAGTGGTTCGCAAGAATGGCATCCTCGGCGCCAGCCTTGATGGACTCTTCCCGGATGACAGCAATCTCAGCATCCGTATCAGTGGAGAACTTATTGATGGCTACGACAACGGGAATGCCGTACGCTCGAGGGTCTGGATGTGCTTGGCAAGGTTTCACACAGCCAGCGCGCAGAAATATCCACATTCTCCTCCTTGTACACAGCGTTCAAGGGGCGCACCTGGAGAGATAGGGGGGCCCGCCCCCCGTGCCCCTTGAGAGCACGAACTGTGGCGACGACGACGACGACATCGGGGCACCAGTCCGGGGGCGGGGCACTTGATGTTGAAGAAGCGCTCGCCGCCCCATGGTGAAATCGAAACCTGCCTCAGTTACAACGAAGCCGGCCTTTTCGGCGGGGGTCCTCGTCTGCTTCTGTGCCCACAAGCTTCAATGCCATCTTGTCAGCGAGCACAGAGCTGTTGCCGATGCTGATGTTTGCGAAGGGCCCGGCGTGAACAAAGACTGGGGTGCCTTCCAGGGTCTGCATCAGGTTGGGCTTGATAGCGTCCCTCATGAGAGCCGTCAATGCGCCGCCAGCACCAATGTCGTCGCAAGTCACGGGGTCACCACTCCTGGAGCTGGCGACGACCATGCGGCCAAGTCTTTCCCGAAGATCGCTCAGGCTCGTGCTGAGGGCAAGGATGGCCATGCACTCACTGGCGACAGAAATATCGAAGCCGGTTTCACGCGTCTGACCCTTCTCCGTCGCGGCTGTGCCAACAGTGATTCCACGAAGGTGGCGGTCATTCACATCTAGAACACGGCGCCAAGTGATAGTCTCAGGGTCGATGTCCAGACGCGCGAAGCGACTGACTTCTTCCTCGGTAAGATCATCAGGGTTGATCTTGTCAATACCAAGCTTCTTCAGGCGACGGAACATGACAGGCGCAAAGACACGCTTGCCGTTCTTTGCAGGGACAAGGCGGCGGTACAGAGGTCCATCCTTCTGCGTGTTCTCATGGAAGATACGAGTCTCGATCGCGGCGGCGAGAAGGTTGTTCGCTGCTGTAATGGCATGGATATCACCTGTCAGGTGCAGGTTGAATTCATCCATCGGAATGACCTGACTGTAGCCTCCACCAGCAGCACCGCCCTTGATCCCGAACGTTGGGCCCTGGCTGGGCTGACGGACGTTTCCGAAAGTGACACGGCCAAGGTGCGCGCCCAGAGCCTGGGCGAGACCCATTGTGGTGGTCGATTTGCCCTCGCCAAGAGGGGTTGGGGTGATACCAGTCACAACGACATACTTGCCGTTGCGACGGTGTTCCAACCTCTTGAGCAGATCGAGGTCCACCTTGGCCTTGTAGGCACCATAAGGCTCAAGCTCGTGCGAGGCAATGCCGACTTCCTTTGCGAGGCGGGTGATCTGTTTGGGGGTCTGGGCCCTGGAGACGTCAATGTCCGATGGCACCGGCTCCTTCAGATGGAGCGGCAAGGGTACAATCTTTCGCTGCCTCTGTCTCTCGAGGGATTGTGAGGCCGAGTCCACGACGTTTCTTAAGAGCATGGCAACGGTCATGGGCCCGACGCCACCTGGCACAGGAGTGATATGCGACGCAACCTGCGAAGCAGACTCGAAGTCGACATCGCCAACTAGCCTCTGGCCAGACTTCTTCGTGTCGTCGGGAATGTAATTGGTGCCGACATCGATGACAACGGCGCCCTTCTTCAGCCATTCGCCCTTGACAAAACCAGGTTGTCCAATGGCGGCAACAACAATGTCTGCTGCCTTGACGTGTTCCTCCAGGTTCGCGGTCCGAGAGTGACAGACAGTGACAGTCGCGTCAGCGTGGCGCAGGAGGTAGCTGACGGGGCTTCCGACAATATCACTCCGGCCAATGACCACGGCATTCTTGCCCTTCAAGTCGACGCCAGTCTGCTGGAGCAGGACCATGACACCCTTGGGGGTGCAAGGCACGAAGAGGGGCCGACCGCCCTTCTTGGCCAACTCGCCGATGTTGGTGGTGCCAAAGCCGTCAACATCCTTTTCGTCAGCGACGGCCGAAGTCACAGCGTACTCGTCAATGTGCTCAGGGACAGGCAGCTGAACCAGGATGCCATGGACCTCAGGGTTGTTGTTCAGGCGGTAGATCTGATCGAGGAGCTCGGGCTCAGAGATGGTAGAGGGGAAGTGTAGTAATTCGCATTGAATGTTGGCCTAGCAAAGTATGACATTGTCAGCAACTCAGCTTAGCGACGATGGAGGCGGCAAAAGGGTGGTGTACCTCTTCGGCAGCTTTCAGTTTCATGCGAACATAGGTGGCTGCGGGGTGATAAGTTTGAATGGGGATTTCCAGCGCGGGGGAGGGGTAGACGAACAAGAGTCAGACCGGTCACCAACTGCACAGCAAACACACAGTTAGCCTCGCCGTCATATGCAAAGACATTGAACAATGAATTCACGCCGAGAACTTGCCTTGGATAATCTTCAGCGAGGGCTGGAATCTGGGGTTGGCTTTCTGTCGCTCGAGGACCTCGGCGGCCAGATCCCCGCGGATCTTCTTCGCAATGGCTGTGCCATCGATCTTGTTGGCAGCCATGGTGCGTGCAGCTGTGGTAAAAGGCCGCGGGCGCCAGGGATAACGGTGGTTGAACAGGGAAGAAACGCTCGAGACAAGTCGTAATCGCAGAGGCGAGACACCGGGCGAAAGGGAGGTTGTGGTTTTGACAATGGGCAAGAGTGACGACGAGCGGGAATCTGGGGTGGAGAGCGCTGAGGGTCCTAAGGTAAAGGCGGAGCCGCGCCTGTGATCGGTGAGAAGTCGGCCAAGCTCGGGATTCGTTGACGAATCGTGCATGGATGGACGACCGGATGGACCCCCCAATCTTGCCAGTGACCTGCCTGCTGCTGCGGGCTTTGCAATGGTGTGTGTCACCAACCACTCTCGATGGTGACCGACAGGTAGAGCACGACGCATCCTGGGCGCTACGTCTGTCACAAATGGCATTGGCCTCACTTTGTGCGTCAGAGGCGTCTCGACAACACACTTTAGAGTGACTCAACCCGCCTTGAATCGAGGGCCCCAGGTAACTTGTCGTGCGACTCCCGGTCAATGACTGACTTTTGGGATCACACTACGAGTCACTCCAGCCCCGAGAAGCCTCGAGGAAGAAGACCAGATCCTATCAAGTCAGGTCTGTGAAGAAACAAAAAGTGAGAAGAATGATTGGCTGGTGGTAGCTAGTAACTTGTCGTCAAGCATGTGAGACCACTCTACCCAGCACGAAGAAAAGGGACCCTTAATCTGATTGACAGCAAGTATACAATATGATTACAGGGTGTAAGACAACAAAGTAGAAAAATAATCGGAACACGCTTTCTAAGGCGTCATCATCTTTGAGACGTTATTGACAGACGGTGCGCGATGCCAGCTAGTCTGGGTCCTAGTTGGCCGGACAAGGCTATGGGCGTCGGCCGGTCGTGGCAGTATCGCGGCCGCTTCTGGTGTGATAAAACGACACTCGTAGTGAAAGATCTCGAGTCAGTGCTGAAGAGCGGCGAGGGTAGATATGGTCACAGCTGTCAGTCGAACTCTCTTGGTCTCGCATCACGCTTGGTTTGCCGCGTCAGGACGGATGCCAGCAACCACGAGAAGAGACATGCGAAAAGCCGCTGACTCAGCCGTCGAGTCATCACCCAATGTAGCCAGGCGGTCAGCATGAGGCACGGCAGAATCGACAATCGCGGGGAGGGGGATTCCTTTGGCCCCACTAGAAACCCAAACCCACAACCAGACGTGAAAGACGCTGCTGTGCGGAGGCCAAAAATTCAGCAGCAACCAGCAACGAGCGACTTCAAATAGCGATCCCTTCCCGCGACTTGGCCACCCTTGAACCCGATATTGCAAACGAGACACCCAAGCCATCGAATCCCAGCTTAATTCCGTCAATATGAGGCCCATTCTTCTCGCCGGCCACGAGCGTGCCCTCACGCAGATCAAGTACGCGACACCCCAAAGACACCATGTCATATCACCAATCCGAGCGCGAGCATGGCAGTGGTCATAAGGAGGGGCAGTCGGCTAACTCGCCCGATTAGGTACAATCTCGACGGCGACCTCATCTTCTCTGTCGCCAAGGATCAGCAGATCTGTGCTTGGTACGCACACAATGGTGAGCGTCTCGGCACCTACCACGGCCACGTCGGCGCCATCTGGACCGTCGATGTCGACCCTACCAGCACCATGATCGCCTCCGGTTCTGCCGACAACACCATGCGCCTTTGGGACGTCAAGTCTGGCAAGTGCCTCAAGACCTGGGAGTTCCCCACTGCTGTCAAGCGCGTCGAATTCAACGAAGACGGCACCAAGCTGCTTGGTGTCACCGAGAAGCGCATGGGCTACCTCAGCAACATTGTCGTCGTCGACATCAACCCTGATGTGGAGGCCGAGCAGAGCGACGAGAAGGTCCTGACCATCGTCTGCGACGAGAGCAAGGCTACCGTCGCAGGCTGGAGCTTCCTGACCAAGTACATCATTGCTGGCCATGAGGATGGCTCCGTATCGCAGTTCGATGCCAAGACGGGCGATCTCCTCTACAACGCCCCCGTTCACGAGCTCAACACACCCGTGACGGACCTGCAATGGTCGCCTGACCGTACCTACTTCATCACTGCCAGCAAGGACAAGACTGCTAAGGTTCGCACATGATGCTTCCGCATCTGATCTACATGTACGGCCCAACTAACTCTTTCGCCAGCTCATCACGACTAAGGACCTCGAGGTTCTGAAGACTTACCCCGCCGATACCCCCCTCAACAGTGCCGCCATCACACCCAGGAAGGACTTCGTCATCCTCGGTGGTGGTCAGGCCGCCATGGATGTCACCACCACCTCCGCAAGGCAAGGAAAGTTTGAGGCTCGCTTCTACCACAAGATCTTTGAGGAAGAGGTTGGCCGTGTCCGTGGCCACTTCGGCCCCCTGGTAAGCCCCCAATCCCCGCACCTGTCTCACCTTGACACCGCTGGCATGGGCATGTGCTGACTTTCCAATCAGAACACAGTTGCGGCGGACCCTACGGGTAAGGGCTACGCAAGTGGTGGTGAGGACGGCTATGTCCGCGTCCACCAGTTCGACAAGGGCTACTTTGACTTCATGTACGAGGTGGAGAGGCAGAGACTTTGAAAAGGGGGAAGTTTGTCTGTCTTCCATTCCCTCTTCGGGACTTGGCATAGTTCGGCGTTCTGGGAATCTCGAGATGTGGGATGGCCGGTTAGATTCAATGGGTTTGTAATTTAGGGCATTCACCACAAAAAGCCGGCCGAATGAGAGATGTTCAACTCGGGAGAGGGTTGTCCAGCAGGTGATGTATTGACGGCATCTGGAAGCGACCGTGGAATATATGTTCCTCCACTTGCACCAGCTTGCTTTGACCCTGCTTTCAGATGAGCAGCGTATTGCGAGCGGGTCGGCTCCGGCCCCAGTCAACCTGAGAGTATGGGATGCCGGTGCCGACTTGGTTCACGTCAGCAAGCCTGAGGATCAGGTGAGCTGGCGTTGACGCAACAAGACCATTGTTGGGATGGAGATGACTCACAAGTCCCAAGAAGCCACTGCCCAGCAGCTAAATACAACTCAAAGTGGTCTCTCTCCATGAGTGCAGGGGCTGTTGTTGACTGTGCATTCTGAAGCGACCTAAATCGCAAATCAAGCCTTTTTCGAGTTGTCGGCTCAACATTTGCCGTTCCTCATTACTCCCATCTGGACTGAAAGTTGCGCTCCCATGTTCGTTCTTCGGTCACATGCGCACCGCTACGGTATGAGTACATGTCGGTCGCAAGGGAATAGCGGTCGATGCCTGAAGGACAGCTGCCTAAAGCTCCCGCAGCTATGCGGACCCTTTATATTAGCCGGCAAGTATCGTGTTCACGTGCCAGTCAACACAAGGGTTCGGCGGGCCGGCTTCAGTTCACACAGCAATTAACGATGCATCACCATTGCTGTTGCACAAGGGACAAAGTGGCGAGCGAGACACGACGCTGGAGCATTTGGAGCTCATCATTGGTAAGAGATACAAAGAAAAGAAAGACACTCCTGGCGTCGTTCATGACAAACTTTTGCCAGAAGGCCCCCCCAAGCTGCGACGCCAACAGCATACCTATCGCTACCAGAAGATCAAAAACCCCAACACCACAAATGCACATCATGGATCGTCCCAACGCCTGCCGCCTTTCATGCTTACCGTGTTGATCCCCATGCTATGCTTTGACGCCTCTTGAATTGCGTACGCTACCCTTCCGGAAACCCCGATCGCTGTGACAAGAGTTCCGCGTGCTCGTGCACGCGTACTTTGCGTGAGCTCATAAACTGTACTTAAGATCTTGCACTCATCAGGAGTGCCGACTTCGCTTGCTTCCGCCGCCGAACATGTTCTTGTCGTGGCCGAGGCTGCCCAGATCGAATATCTCGCCAAGATTGATCTTTCTCTTTGATCCAGCCCCGCGCCCAAGTTTGGTTGGCTTGCCTGGCCCCTAGTCTCGCTCCAACACCATTGTGTCGTAATCGAGAGGCACGACTGGTGGGAGTGTTGGTGGTGGTGGAGGTAACATGCGACGGAAGCGAGTCGTGACCGCGAGAATCGGATAGGTCGAGGTTTGCGATGTTGAGATACGCATCTTGCGGGTAAGGGTGTGATGACTGGAAAGTGAAGCTATCCTGGCTTGGAACAGTGACTTGCGCGTTGTCGACTAGAGCCGGGGAAGCGGTGGGTGGTGTCGACTCTGTTTGAGTTTGACTGTCCTCGCGCATTGTTGATTGAGGGTTTCCGCTGACCGTTCGTGTCAGTTCCGGCGAAGAGGTTCTCTCTGGCTTTTGATCTTCGTCCTCGCTTTCGACTGTCTGCGATGGAGAGTCCCGACCGTCGAGTCTTTCGGTGGCCCATTTGCGAACCCTCCAACCCTCGCCGTCGCCCACACCCAGATTTCCTTTGTCGAGGAAGGCGAGAAGGTCGTCCAAACAATCCTGGTATCCGTCGAGACGTGCTTTGGCCTGGCTAGCTGCAGAGGTCTTGTAAAGCTTTGTGACAGAGAGGGCGGCAGCCTTGAAAGCATCGAGGAGTTGCTCAGGAGAGTCATTTTGTGTTGTCTGCTTCTGGCCCGATGACCCGGGCAGGGATGTATTTAGACTCCGCATGGAGTCCATGTTGCGTGGTCTCGATGAGCCACTCCAAGGCTTGAGGCGGTCCGTCGGTGATGTCTCGCAAAGAGAGAGACCAAAGCTTTTCTGTCGACCTACGTCGTTGCTCTTTCGCAAAATGCGGTGGGTTGACAGGTCTGGAACACCCGAAGGGCTTGATTTCAGCAAGTGGGTGCAGTGGGGTACAGCCTATCGCTGTTGTGCCTAAAGTGGGTAGGCAAGGTTGCTATGTGAGGGGCGCAGATGCACAGCCTGAGGAGGATAGCGGGCAACAGTGAATAGTATGAACGCAAAAGGTGGGACAATATTGAAAGAAGCGTTCAAGTTTGACCGACGTACCAAGCGATTTCGTGTGTGGCGTGGTCGGAAAGTGCAGTCGAGGTGGTGTTTGATTGATGTTGATGACTCGGCGTTGACTGCATTACCTACGGGCGCTCAGGGCACATGAAAGAGGAGGGACCAGTGGTGCATGGCCGCCGCCACGGCGGTAGCCGCTAGACGGTCCCGCCCGCGTGACTGACGCCATCAGGCTGTCGCTTGGAGAGTTAATCCGACCTCCGAGTCCCGGACCACGCTGCCTGGCAAGCCCTCAGAGGCCGACCGTGGGAGCGCTCAGACCACTGATTGAACCAGTGGCGGGAATGCCGATGGCCCCGAAATAATCCTAGTACCGTATCGACCCTGCAGCTCACAGCTCTAAGGGCCGTGAATTGCGATTCCACCTTCCCTCCTCCCTCAACACGACGGGGACCTCATATCTCAGCCAACTACTGTCGCCTTTTGTTCAACGAATTCTTCGCTAGGCACATTCACGACACGAAGTATTACTCTGGTTGCACGGCGTCGGATTGTCGTTACCCGACCCCCCCTCTATTGCCTGCCAACACTATTCGAACGCGTCGCAGTCGCGTAAAGCGAAAACTCGATTGTTGCGATGCCTCCCTCAAGACCACGCCCCAGTGCTGTGGACACAGATACATCTATGTCGGATGCTCCAGACGCTCGTCGCGAAGACCGCATGGTTCGTTCAATTATTTTCTCCCCTTTCCGCTCCCAATACCAATCATGGCTATGTCTTCGTACCGAGAAGTGTTGCGCGCACACGAGCTAACCAAGAATTGTGCAGGAGGTTGACGAAACTCCCGACTACACCGACTCAGATACCAATCCCAACACGACAGCGAGTAGCGTGGTTGGAGATGCGGCTCCCGATGGACGCAAGAAACGATCCGAGGCGAATCAGCTCCGCCGCAGTATTTTTGGCAGGAAACACGACCGCCTTGGAGAATCAAAGGTAAATCTTGCCTTTTGCCCTGATTGCGTTTGATGGAGATGATGCTGATGCATGGATGTTCAAACAGGAAGAAGACACTCTCCGGAGATTTCGTTACCTGCTCGGCCTAACTGACTTGTTCCGCCACTTCATCGAAACCAATCCCGACCCTAAGATTCGGGACATCATGATCGAGATTGATCGTCAGAACGCTGAAGCTACAAAGAGCAAGAAGGCTGGCGCTCGTCAGGGTGGTGCCACCAATGAAAGACGCCGTCGAACTGAGGCAGAAGAGGATGCCGAACTTCTCCGCGACGAGAAACATGGCGGATCAGCTGAGGTTGTCTTTCGAGAATCGCCCTCTTTCATTCAGGGTGAAATGAGAGACTACCAGGTTGCCGGTCTTAATTGGCTGATTTCACTGCACGAGAACGGTATCTCTGGCATTCTTGCCGATGAAATGGGTCTTGGCAAGACATTGCAGACGATATCCTTCCTCGGTTATCTTCGCCACATCATGGGCATTACTGGACCCCATCTCGTCATTGTCCCCAAGTCCACCCTCGATAACTGGAAGAGAGAGTTCGCGAAATGGACACCCGAGGTCAATGTCTTGGTCCTACAAGGCGCCAAGGAGGAGCGTCAGCAATTGATCAATGAGCGCTTGGTAGAGGAAAAGTTTGACGTCTGCGTCACCAGTTACGAGATGATCCTCCGCGAGAAGGCCCACCTCAAGAAGTTCGCATGGGAGTACATCATCATTGACGAAGCGCATCGAATCAAGAACGAAGAGTCGTCGCTGGCTCAGGTCATTCGTCTTTTCAACTCGAGAAACCGTCTCCTGATTACCGGTACACCCCTTCAGAACAATTTGCACGAGCTGTGGGCTCTCCTCAACTTTCTGCTACCGGACGTGTTCGGTGACTCGGAAGCCTTCGACCAGTGGTTCTCAGGCCAGGATCGAGACCAGGACACAGTTGTTCAGCAACTACACCGCGTGTTGAGACCTTTCCTCTTGCGCCGTGTCAAGGCTGATGTCGAGAAGAGCCTGCTGCCGAAGAAGGAAGTCAATGTATACCTCGGCATGTCTGAGATGCAGGTCAAGTGGTACAAGAAGATTCTTGAAAAGGATATCGACGCAGTCAATGGGGCTGGCGGTAAACGCGAGTCCAAGACCCGATTGCTCAACATTGTCATGCAGCTGCGAAAGTGCTGTAACCATCCTTATTTGTTCGAAGGTGCTGAGCCCGGTCCTCCGTATACGACTGACGAGCATCTGATTTATAATGCCGCGAAGATGAAAGTCCTCGATAAGCTGCTTGTCAAGTTCCGACAGCAGGGTAGCCGAGTCTTGATCTTCTCGCAGATGAGCCGTTTGCTGGACATTCTCGAGGACTATTGTGTGTTCAGGGAGTACAAGTACTGCCGAATCGACGGTGGCACAGCCCACGAAGACAGAATTGCTGCCATCGACGAGTACAACAAGCCTGGATCCGAGAAGTTCGTGTTCTTGTTGACAACAAGAGCGGGTGGTCTCGGTATTAACCTCACGACTGCTGACATTGTCATTCTCTTTGATAGTGACTGGAATCCGCAGGCCGATCTGCAGGCTATGGATCGCGCTCACCGTATCGGCCAGACAAAGCAGGTCGTAGTCTATCGATTTGTCACCGATAACGCTATCGAGGAGAAGGTTTTGGAGAGGGCAGCTCAGAAGCTTCGTTTGGACCAACTCGTCATCCAGCAGGGTCGAGCACAGGCTGCGGCCAAGGCTGCGGCCAACAAGGACGAGCTGCTTTCCATGATTCAACATGGCGCCGAGAAGGTATTCAACAGCAAGGGCGCGACCGATGCAGCGGCAGAGGGCGACAGCGTTGGTGACGATGACATCGACAAGATTTTGGCATTCGGTGAAAGTCGTACAAAGGAGCTCAATGCCAAATACGAGAAGCTCGGAATCGACGATTTGCAGAACTTCACATCTGAATCTGCTTACAACTGGAACGGCGAGGATTTCAAGAGTCAGAAAAAAGACATTGGCATGACGTGGATCAATCCGACCAAGCGAGAGCGCAAAGAACAATCCTACTCCATGGATGCCTACTTCAGGCAGACGATGTACCCGCCAAAGGAGAAGGACAACAAGCCTAAGGCCCCCAGGGCCCCTAAGCAAGTCGTTGCTCACGATTGGCAATTCTTCCCACCAAGACTCCGAGATCTGCAAGATCGTGAGACGGCGTACTACCGGAAAGAGATTGGCTACAAGGTTCCGCTGGCTGAGGGCGAAGGCGACAATGTATCAGATCGCGAGGCCGAACGTGCTCTTGATCAAGAAGAGATAGACAACGCCACGCCCCTGACTGAAGAGGAACAGGAGGAGAAGGCAGAATTGTCACAGCAAGGCTTTGGCGATTGGAATCGACGAGACTTCCAACAGTTTGTCAACGCTTCGGGTCGATACGGCAGGACAGACTACGAGAGCATCGCCGGCGACATTGACCACAAGGAGGCTTCTGAAGTCAAGCAATACGCCAAGGTTTTCTGGCAGCGATACAGCGAGATTGCAGACTACACAAAGTATCTCAAAACGATTGAGGACGGAGAGGAGCGCATGCGCAAGATTGAGCACCAGCGCAAGCTGTTGCGAAGAAAGATGCAGCAGTACCGCGTCCCCTTCACGCAACTCAAGATTAACTACTCGGTCTCTACCACCAACAAAAAAGTGTATACTGAGGAAGAAGACCGGTTTCTCCTGGTGCTCCTTGATCGTCACGGCGTCGACACGCCAGGCCTCTATGAGACGATGCAGCAGGAGATCGCAGAATCCCCTCTCTTCCGATTCGACTGGTTCTTCCTCAGCCGTACGCCTGTTGAGCTCAGTCGGCGGTGTACGACACTGCTTACCACAATCGTCAAGGAGTTTGAGGACGTTCAGCCCAACCAAGAGCGCTAATGGGGCGAACGGCAAGGTCAAGCGGGATGCTGATGACGACGAAAACGACGAGGATAGTGTGTTGGGTATGGCACCATCCAAGAAGAAGTCGAAGAACGGAGTCAAGGTAAGCCCCCCTGTTGATTTCTGTGAAATCGCAAGTAGCTCACCCAGAGCACAGAACAAAGCGCTCGACAACATCAAGTCAGAAGCAGGCAGCAAGAGTACTTCTGCAGCTCCTTCAAGGGCGTCAAGCGTCGCATCCACCAAGACAAACGGGCCTTCCAAGTCCAAAGCCAAGGGAAAAAAGAAGTAAGAGTTACTGAAGTTTGTTCTTGGGGGCAAGGTATGACTGGCAGCGAGTTGGTCTGGTAGCCCGGCAGTCAGGGCTCGTGACATGGTAGACATGGCGTTTGGTCAGGTATGAAACGGATTGACGGGATATTGTCCGGCTCAACGAGTCGGGAGAGAGAGTGCGATTTGTCTTGTATTATTTCTGTCGCCAACGGTATGTTTCAGACCTTCGTATAGAAGGTTTAGGCACTGATTACACAAAGAGACTCTGGCTCCTGTCTTTTGTCCGAACCTGGTCACCAGCGCTGTGAGAAAGAAAAAAGCATGGAAATAATCTAAGAATGCCAGTGCAACCAGGTGGTGATGGGATGAGTTTGGTGACAAAAATATTCAAACTCCACCAAAAAGGACACTCCCGAGGTGGGACTCGAACCCACAGCCCTTGGATTGCTATGCTGATGCCTAAAAGTCCAAAGCTCTAACCAATTGAGCTACCCGGGAAAGGTGAGAATCGGCCGTACCGAAGCTATCTTGTTCTGAAGACGAGTCGATCAGTCGGCTGATACCTTATGGAACGTTGGGGGAATGATAAGAGGGGATTTGACATGTAACCACAAGCACTCCGTGAATGGGGCCCGTTCCAAGCTGCACAGGTTCTCAATTTGGAGCTGTGGGCAGCCGATGCATCATTCGCCAGCTCCTCGGAATCCAAAGCCTCAATATCGTACGGACTGTTGCGAATTTATGAAAGTATCATACCTATTCAGGAATAACTTGTCCTCTCGGGGGTCCTTAGGCACCCCTGGGAATCTAGCTAGATACGTCATTTTCTTGCGTCTGGCACCGATGGTCTCGTCTGCCCCGCACCTGCTTGTCCAGGCACCGCGCCTCCCGTGTCAGGGGTTGACTGACTTGGCCGTTTCCACTAAACTGCCCCGCCAACCCTTGCCTTGATCGTCGCCTAGGAGCTGTGTTGCCTACTGCCTCCTAACCGATCTGCGTCCTCCTGTTCAACGAGCATACAAACACTTCCAGCCAGAGAGTTGTGCCTGCGAAGTACATAGAGCCTTGAACTCTCTCATCGTTACCAATCTGCCCATTCCTATTCTCACGGCTCGCCATGTCTCTTACGCTGGAGAAGATCCTGGCTCCTACGCCAGCGATCAACCCCCTTGGGTCTGACGAGGGCCTGCAACCAACCCAGCTCTCCGTTGACAGCAAAGGCGAGCGGATAGCATACGCTGTAGGAAGATACCCTGCGCATGTGATTGGGATATTGTCACATCAAGCTAATCGCGTGTCCATCTCCAGTCCGGGAAATCCATCTTCGTGCGATCTATCGACGAGCCGTCCCTCTGCAAACAGTACAACGGGCACAAGAACGCCACGACCACCATTGCTCGATTCTCACCTAGCGGATTCTACATTGCTAGCGGTGATCGAACTGGCGCCGTGAAAGTCTGGGATGCTATTGAGGCTGTCAACACCAAAGGCGAATATCATATCATCTCTGGGCCCATCAAGGACATTGCGTGGGACGGTGACTCGCAACGCATCATCGCTGTAGGCAAGGGCAGCGAGCGTTTCGGCGCCTGCATTACTGCTGACAGCGGCAACTCCGTGGGCGAGATCAGCGGCCACTCTAAGTCCATCAACGCTGTTGCTCTGCGCCAGCAGCGCCCACTCCGCGCCGCTACCGTGTCTGACGACGGCACAATGTGCTTCTTCCATGGCGCCCCCTTCAAATTCAACTCGAAGCACGCTGACCTTCATACAAACTTTGTCTTTGGCACTGCATTCTCACCTGACGGCAACCATCTAGTCACGGTCGGAGCCGACAGGCGCATCCAGCTCTATGATGGCAAGACCGGCGAGCCCAAGGTTCAGATTTCGGATGGTGAGCACAAGGGCAGTATTCTGGCTGTATCCTGGGCCAAGGACAGCCAGACCTTCGTCACGGCTAGTGCGGACGGTACCGTCAAGCTCTGGGGCTTGGAGGCTGGCAGCGCGAAGCACACGTGGGACCTCGGCAGCCAACAGTTTGGTGTTGTCTATCCCCACGGCAGGACTGATGGCCTCATCATCAGCATCAACCGCAATGGTGATCTGCTCTACCTGTACCCCACCAGCACCAAGCCTTCCAAGGTGGTCCAGGGTCACAACAAGAGCGTCACGGCCCTGAGCGCCGCGTCTGATGGTAGCGGCCAGACGCTCTGGACCGGCAGCTTCGAAGGTCGCATTTGCAAATGGGATGTTGGCAGCGGAGTTGGCACCACAGTCGAGGGCTCAGCGCACACGAACCAGATCAGCCAGCTTGCGGCCGCCGAAGGTCGGGCGTATAGCGTGGGCTGGGACGACAAGCTTCGCACCATTGACGAGTCTACGGGCGTTCACGAAGGTGACGGCGTGTCACTTTCCTCGCAGCCACGAGGTGTGGCCGTCTCAGGCGGGCGCGTGTTTGTCGCGACTGTGGACGGCGTTGACGTGTTTGAGGGCAATAAGCTGGTTACTGAGAATCGCTATGGATACAGTCCCAGCGCTATTGCCGCCTTCGGCTCTACCATCGCCGTGGGCGCTGGTAACTCGGTCAAGATTTACAAGGCGGACTCATCTGGCAAGCTCGCCGAAAGCAAGTCGCTCGACCGGTCCACGCATCCCATCTCTTACCTATCCTTTTCTAGGGACGGTAGATACCTTGCTGCCGGCAACGACAACGGCAACATCGACCCATATGACACCAGCTCGTGGGAAATTGCCGCCAAGTGCACTGATCGCTGGGCAGCGCACAACAGGAACAAGATTACCTGTATCTCCTGGAACGACGCCACAACGCACGTTGTGTCGGGATCTCGCGGCGCAGACGTGGTGATCTACAGTCTGGCGAGCCCCGGACGTAAAGTCAAGGCTGAAGGTGCGCACCTCGAGGGCGTCACGGGCGTGGCGTGGGTCGGCGGTGACAAGGTGGCCAGCATCGGCGCTGATGCGGCTGTCAAGATCTGGGGAATCGCCTCTCTGCCGTGAGCCAGCTGGGTATCTTAGTGAAGCTAGCTACATCGATCTTACTTCATCAATGAGAAATGACAATCTTATGACCTCCGAATTCCATTTGCCTTTCCGTGACTCCTGCGAGGATCAGATAGACTGCACATACTTGAATACGGAACATGGGACCCGCTAACCATTCGTTCATCATGTCACGTTGGCCGACTTGCCCTGATCGCGTGGTGTCATCTGCGCAGCTTCCTAGTCCATGCTCAGATGGACAGCTTCCTCACGCCCTTGTTCTGCGGACGATCCAGTGGGCCCTTCCTCTGCCTGCCGCTGCGAAGGGGCATCGTCGAGCTCACGATACCTGCTCATCATGGCACTGCTGACGCTCCAGATGTTGAGGCCCTTGCCTGCCGCGCCCTCGGGCAGTGGGTGCGAGCGGAACGTGCTGGCGTTCTTGGCGCAGAGCAGCGCCGACTGCTCGAGGGCGTAGTCAAGCTGGCCGAGGCGGCCCCAGATGGCGTAGCCTTGCCTCTGTATCTCTTCGGCCAGCTCCTCCTGGTGGTTGTCCTTGAGCGTCGGGTTCGGCACCACAATGAGCGGGGCGTTGATGCGGAGACCATCAAGAATAGTGCCAGTGCCTTCATGAGCAAGTTAGCTTGTTGAGGCATCGGGACAACACAAGTTTCAGCCTACCAGCGTGGATATGACAAGGCCATCGCGGCGCTTGTTCGTCTCGGCACGACACAGAGTCATCTTGCGAATGAGATCGTCCACAAAATCAAACGTCGACATGTGAAGCGTTGATCGGGTGGCAAGAGCTTGTACTTCATCGCGGAACCAGTCGATATCCTTGCCGCATTGTATGGTGAGGTGCGTGAACCCTTGCGCACAAAGCACGTCTAGGAAGGGCGTGTCGATTGTCTCTTTGAGAAGCTGCGTGAATCGGGCCGTTGCGCCAATGGTGATGAGACAATGGCGTTGAAGACCGCTTGGGTCTTGGACCTTCGGATCTGGCGGCGGCATCGTATGGAGTGCCAGACAGCAATCAGGTATGGATTGTCGCAGAGCGGCGACACGTCAACACTCAGACAAGTGGTGACCAGCGGTAAGAAGGAGTTTGTATTTCGAGTCGAAGAACATGAGCGAGTGTGTCGAGCGGTGAGACCATCATGGCAGGCTGCAAGTGTCAACTCTCTACGTAGCTTACGCTCGGGTATCTTCATAATGCTGTGGCGGGCGGGCATCTTGGGGAAGCATCTTACATAATGCGCCGCCACATGGAAGCCGCATGTCATGATACGGATGGCAACAAGCCAGGTCAATTACTTGGTTGTTCAATGTGCTTCCCGTAAAAGATATACGATATGAACCGCAATACATTCACCGCACACATTGATTGCTACGTAACGTATCGCCTCGTCTCCCCTGAAGCTGCCATATCGGCGGCCATTTTGGTTTCTCGTTAAACTACCAGTCCTGCCCCAAAAAGCAGCAAACTCCTATTTCCGCCCACAAAAGTCGCCTTGATGTTGCTGCCCAAATACATAAAGCAAATCGCATCAAGAAATGTAAGTCGGTAATCATGTCTCATATCAGTCGTTCAGTCAGTTCTCACAAGTCGTAGTGCACGCCGCTGGGCGCCAGACGAAGCACGAGGAGCAAAGTGCTGCCCAGTCTCAGTTGTCCACCTCCATCTTGTCCTCGGTGTGCTCCGCGACAGCCTTTGTCGTTTCGACATCCTCTGATTTCGTATCGGGCATCTGTGTTGACATCGCATCCCGTCCTGTTTCTCTCGGATTGCCGTCGAGCGTGCCGTTGACGGGCAACAGACGGTACTCTCCATCCTCCTGGCGCTCAATGATGTTCTCTTCCAGCGCCCACTTAGCAAGCAGGCGGTCTACACCTAGCCGCTGGCCTTCACCTTTTTCCATATGCCTGCCGACATGCTCTGTCCACTCGTCCCACGACCCAGGCCCCTCAAAAACACTCTTGCAGTCTGGTTTCGGACAGGCGGAACGCTGAGGAGGCAGCCTGCGCGTTACGAGGCAGGATTGCTGCATCTCCTTGACGTGGCCATCCCATTCGGCTTGTAACTTGCCATCGCCCTTCGCGATAGCCTTCTTGATCGCGAAGGGCGCATGCATACGTCGGAGGTGCTGCGTAAAAAGATCCTTTCGATTGAACTCATTGCCCTTCCCTTCTGCTGTGCTATGTGGACACGAAGAGCACCGATAGTACTGTAGACAAAGATGTTGAGATGCAATGTGGCGCTTCCACTCATTTTTCGAACCAAAGGTACTTGCGCAGCCGGCGAAGAAGAAGGCACACGGGAACGGTCGCGTATGAGCCGCAGCAATGTGTTTTCGTAATGACGAAGAATCCTTAAACGGCTCGTGACTGCAGAGCGTGCATCGAGTCTCCTGTCTAGGCGTCGACTTCTGGAGAGACCGCCGAGGCTTCGGTCGAGAATTCGGCGTGCTGAGTTCAGCAATGTGAAGAGATTCGTCGGCACCAGACTCGTTAGCATCATGCGATGAGCCCGTGTCCCCAGGGCTCGGGTGCATTGCGCCGTCCGGAAGCGTGGTGCGTTGCCGTTCTACCAAAGGACCAGCCTCATCACTGAGGTGCCGCACATGGCTGAGGGCTTTGAGCTGCTCTGCTGCCTCCTGCATCTCAGCAGAGTCCTCCACCTCATGTTTCCCATCAATTGGCCCCGTCGGGCCTGAAGGGGGAGCTGCAGACATGGCGGCAGTCGGCGCGTCCAACCGGCTTACAATATCCTGGAACGGCCCGTCCTTACTGTCAACAGACCGTTTGTGCCGTCCCGAAGCTGTCGCTGCAAGCCCTCTTGCTTCCAGAAGGGTCCGGCCATCCTGAACATCTCTAATTGAAGCTTGAGCATGACCTGTGGATCCGACAAGTTTTTGGTAAAGATGTATCATGTTGTGAGAGCTGATGTAGCCCAGAAAGCAGCAGACTTTATCGTGCTGCACAACGTTCCAGATAGAGTGCGGCATAGAGATCAATAGCATAGTCGGCGGGCCCAAAAACATGCCTTCGACTGTGATCTTGGCCCCCAAGGGCGGCGTGTTGCGCAACCAGCCATTGAATGATGACATGTCTGGACTGGCGTCCCCAACAAATGTCGTGCAGACAAGGACTCTTGCTTCGTCAAACCGCAAGTCTGAAACTGATTCCGGGTCAATGAGCTGGTCCTCTCGTGAAAGTCTGGACGGTGTTGTCTCTCCATCGACATCTGCGCGTGGCGATAGCAGCCGGCTTGTCCGGGCCGGCAAGGGAGCTAGGCTCAAGCTTTGGTCCTTTCCGGGGGTTAGGGTAAACAGTACGGGGGCGACGATGGCTGGACGTGGGCTCGTCACATTCCCGTTGGCCAGTTTGAGAGCAGACGCAAGTTCTTGCTGCTTCAGCGACATGACCTCGTCATGTAGCTTTTTCACACTGAATATCCTGCCGGCACTCAATTTGTGAAGAGCTTCAATCAGCAGGTAGGTGAACGACCGGCCGGGGGAATCGCGAGGATTCTGATCAGGCGTGTATGCGGCAATGGCTTGCTTGATGCCGTGGCTCCCTGACAGGGGCACGTCTCGCGCTGAGCAAGAGTCCAGGAGCAGTAGAATATCTGATTGGGCATCTTCGAAGAGACAGCGCACGCCGTCCCATTTTAGTTTTGCGGCATCGTCACGAGTGTTGCTGGACGGAAAAGCGGTCAGACACACGAAGACGGCGGTCCAATAGCGGCATGCCGACTCACCAGGCCCAATAAAGCTGATTGTCCGCTCCGAGATAGCCATGACCGGCATAGTAAATTATGAGAAGATGATCGGGGGCTCCGTGCTCCAGGAAGGAGGCCATCTGCACGCCGAGCTTGATGCTGGGATTGGCGACGGTGGGAATGTTCCAACATTCAGTGGCATAGTTGTAGCGGTCGCGAAGTATGGTCTCGAGGGCCCCGAGGTCCGCTTCGACAGTGGTATCTTCCTCCCATCTTAGTAGAAGTACAGACACATGTGCATATGGCAATCGCTCGGTTTGGCGCTGGATCAACATGGCGGCATCTTGGAGGTGCCTAGCAAAGGACTCGAAGTCATGGCGTTCGGCGAGAGGCGGCTCGGGGGCGGCGAGCGGTTGTTGGGTCTGCTTGAAAATACAAATTAGCTACACATGCGGTAGAGTCGCTCTAGGATTTCGTGACGGGCTGACCGCTTCTGTGGGGAACGAGGCTGGTTGAAGGTTCGCATTGTGGTTGTGGTGGTTCGAGCTGTGTGCTGAGGGCGGCTCTTTGGGCATAAGACGCCGCTTCTTGGAGGGCTGCGATGGTTGTTCCATCTACTATATGTGCAGCAACTGCGGGTGTCACGGCAGTTGAGTCGGTCGAACGTATAGAAGGAGAGCACAATGGGTTCGCGAAAATCACACGGCAGTGTTCAGATATCCATGGGCCGATATGAGGGAGCGAAGTTCAGGCGGAGGAGGGGGGGGCCGCTTTGGGGGGGAGAGGGCTAGACGAAGGCGAAGGCGGAGGGCCGATAGTAAGGCTGGTCGGCTGGTTCGAGCCTTCCAAAAAAGCTCCCAGCGAGGCTGTGGCTGTCAAGCGTGTTGGGGGGAGGGGCTTGAGGGGCTTCAAGGGGAGGGACTGCGAGAGACTCCTGGTCTGGGCCCGAATTCAGCGAGAGCCTTGCTGATTGGAGGATCGGCGGACCCCCCAGCCTTTTGTGTGACATGCCTCCATGTAAACATGCCCAAGGTTTGCGGCTTTGGTGCAGAAGGCTAAAACGGGTGGCACCTGGAGGTTCGTTCTTCCATGTCA